CTGCTCAAGCGAACACGTCATTTTGTGGGGCTGAGGATACGCAGTGGATTAGACTAACTTCTCTGCAGCATGAATTGGGACCTGCAGAGCTTATGGGATATAATAAACCCAGCCTTGTGTAATATTTATATTGCAAATGCGAAGGACTCCTTGAGGGGAAAATGACGCTTTCGCCCTCTTCAATGGTTTTATACAGGAGCAAACACAGAAGTAAAACCTATGAGTAAAGGGGAAATTTGATGCATTTTCTTAGCACTTTGTATACTACAACGTGTATGTGTGTGTTTGCCAGTGCACTTACTGTAGGAAAAGACAAACGCAAAATTTTTGGAATTACCATCGTGTTTACAGGTTACGTAATATATATATAGTTCTCACGCAGAAATATATTGAGTTCTTGTCCGCGGATATATGCACGTGTGATGCAAACAAGCGGAAAGCTCTGGATTCAGCACAGCAAACTGTCCGTCCCCATTTTAAGCCAACTTTTTTTTTTTTTTTTTCCTGTTGTTGTTAGCCCACTTGAAGAAGAGTCTGTTATTCTCCCTCTGTATATTTACTGACCTGAGAATGACTATTAATTCATAAGGCTGCCTAGTTAAGTGGAATTTAAGGAGTTTCATTTTACCCTGTTGGAATGCAATAAAACACGATGTTATTAACTCGCCTGAACAATCTATTCGTCGAGGCTTGGAGTTATTCTGTACACAGTGCCTGCACCACAGGGTGTACGGGGAGGGCTGGGGTTTCCTTTTTTTATTCTATTTTTTTTTTTAATTTCTTTTTTTAAAAGCGTGGTACCGACGTACCCCAGGTTTGCCGTGCAATGGACATACGATCCAGTTAAGGTCATGCAGAACAAAACCAGCCGGGATGCGACATAGAAAGGCAGCATGATTAACCGTTTCTTGTGCCGAGCCGTGCATCGGCAGCCAAGATACAGAGTGCTGGTGTTTAAGAAAGGTTGGGGCGGAGGGGTTATGCCTTGAGAGAAATAGGATTAAAGGGAAAGAAAGTAAACTTCCACCGTGAAAAATGCAGCGGGTAGAAATAGGCTGACCTAGAGTAGAATAGAGCAAGACATTCACAGCAGATTAACAAAGCAAATACAAGCGACTATATAGATAAAATAGAAAGCAGTTTATTGACTCAGCGCTTATATACAATAAAGTTAACCAAGCTCATTAACATTTTTTGCTGGGCTGTTTACAGAATATCCAGGGGATGACAGGAACTCCGATGGTGGCTGCTAGTCCGGAGAGACATGACGGTGGTTTACAGGCGAACCCGGTGGAGGTGCAGAGTTACCAGCCGCCCTGGAAAGTACTGAGTGACTTCGCACTGCAGAGTGACATAGACCAACCTGCTTTTCAGCAACTAGTAAGTGTCGATTCTCAGCCGGAGCAGGCCAGCCTGTGCTCGGGGCAGAGCAATGGGGGATTCCCTAAGAGGGCCAGATGCCCTCTGAGAGACGAGCAATCCAGACGAGCTGGGTTTTCCTGAAATTGCAAGGTGGGCATGATAGCACTCTGTAAATGCGGCGAACTGAATTGGTTTAATAGGTGTTGGTGCAAAATGGACCTCAGTGCGCAGCAGAGCTCTTGCCGAGTTGAGTGGGTGACGCATAAGGCCCGACCCAGGTCCGAGACCAACTCAGCACGCACACTCCTGAAAAATGAAAGCACCTCTATCCAGAGAACTAAAACATTCTTCATGTGTCTTTTAATTCTATGTACACTTGTGAAAGCAGTTTCTCAAATTCTCCCCTCCCCCCTTCGGGCCAATTTTGCCTTTATGCATCAGGGTGGATTTTAAATATGTGATTGCAATGTCGGCCTCTGCCCTTGTTTTGTCACACAAACATGAATAACCTAATCAAATTTTTGAAGTCCTTGTTTTGAGAATGTGTCTCTAGATATAACTTTATGTATCTCTATATAGAGACAAATATATACATATATATAGCTTACATTAAATGTTGTGCTTTGGAAAGGGGATTGTTAGTACGTATTCACGTGAAAACTTCAAACAATATAATAAACTGCCTTAAGCGAAAGAAAACAGACCTTTTAGAATAAATTCTGTTCTTAACTTACTTCCTTATGCCTACGTCATTTGGCAGCTCATATGGGACCATATCATCTACAATACTTAGGCCCAACAAGGTGAATTAAGGACAGAAGTTCAGCCTTAACTCAATTTCCTGGCCAAAGTGTGTTAAAACCAGATCTTTAAAATAATAAGGTACATTCTGTATGGGTTTTCAGTGATTCAAAACAATACATAATGATGAAAAATTAATGTATAGACCCTTTTTTGGTCTGTTGGGCACTTTTTTCAACATGAAGCAATGGAGGATGAAGGTTTGTAGCCGTGTCTAGAATTATTTTCAGACCTTTTCAGTTTAGTGTCACAGTCTCTTGCAGGATTGCTTTTCTTTTGCCCAGTGGCAAGCTGCAGCGTGTTTCTCTCCCCTGGCACACCATGCTCACTCAGGAAGCTGTAGCACAGCAGCAGGGCTGTTTGCATCATCTTACCTTTAGAGCCACCACCAGTTTTCCTGCTTTAATCAAGCTGTCAAACAGACACAAGAAAAATTGATCTCCTTCAGCTGCCTTACTTACGGTGCCTTAACAGAATAGGGGACTTAGAAACCTTTGATGCAGTGAGTTTTTGTATGGGGTAGTTCTAAAAAAAAAAAAAAAAAGCCAGAATGGAAGGTGGATAGCCCAAATACACACACATATATAGGTAGCTAGATCATTAGATAGACAGTTGAATATTGATATATATTGGACATAGTGTCTGATACCGAAAAGACTTTTAAAAAAAAATAGTGGATGGAACAGACAGTTCATCGACCTTTCAAGGGACGTCTCTAATCTGGAAAGGGCCTTAATCACAGGATCGGCCAGCTAAATAGGTGCCAAAGAAATCCTTTTGGATTAGCAAAGCTCCACCCTTCAAATCATGCCCTTTCCCAACGCTGCTCCCAAACTAACGGGAGCCGCAGGGCACGTTAGCATGAAGTGTGACCTTTTTTATCAAACTGACTCTCGTTAAAAAGAGATAGCACCCGCTTCAAATCACAAATGAAAGAAAATGCCTTGTTTCAAATGCCTTCTGCTCCTGGATGCTCCTTCCAGGTTTATTTTAGTATGTGCACAAAAGGAGAAAAAAGTAACCTTGCAGTTTCGTGTCAAAAAAACACATGCATTCTTAAATAATTGACTAGAACATCCTGTTGGGATTACCACTCTTGCAAGACAGGGAAGAAGGCCTCATTAACAAGTTTGTTTGTTTATTTGCTTGGTTTTTCAGTCCTTTTTTTTTTTTCTGATTTTTTTTTTTTTAAACGTGCTTTTTTCGATGATTTGGCTGAAGACCTGAAGAAGATTCCTGTGAAGTTAATGGGGAAGCTGAACAAAGCGACAGTGATGCAGCCTCTCGTGGACACGTATCAGGCCATTTGGCTGCACACCTGTGTATTTGTTTTTGTGTTCTTTGCCTTTGCTTGCTACTTTTCTTTGATTGTTACAGTTGTAACAACACTTCTTTGTCTTATTTTTCTTTTTTTTTTCTCTTTTTTTCTTTTTTGGCAGGTTAATTTTTCAGAAGGAGGACCCGGTTCCAATTCTACTGGAAGTGAAGTAGCATCAATGTCCTCTCAGCTGCCAGATACACCCAACAGCATGGTAGCCAGTCCTATTGAGGCATGAGGAACATTCATTCAGATTTCTGTTGTTCTTGTTTCTGTCCTTACCCCCACCCCTGCTGGAGAGAGTGGGAAAGTGATCACGTTGGAACTCCGAAATTTAGGGGGAAAAAGTATTTAACAACCCTGTAATGAACCTAGCAAGGAACCACTCCATGAAACGACCGGAGTCATGTTTGAAACGACAAGGTAATATGGTAGCAACACTGTGAAGGCAATCATGGGATCTTACTAGAATAAACACTAAAAAAAAAAAAAAAAAAAAGAAACCCCGCGCTATTCAATGATCAGAGGAGGATCGAAAAAAGACGTTTTCAAAACGTTAAGGATTTGTACTCTGGATCTCAAAAAAAAAAAAAAAAAGAAAAGAAAAAAAAAGAAAAAAAATCTTTACATTTGACTGCACATCTTAGGGAGAAACCAAGGTAGAGGGGCTTTCTATCCAGTCCCTCCCAATCCGAATGGTGCTGTTTCTATATTGATGATTGCCTTGCCAAAAGGAGCTCCAGTAGGTTTTCCATCATCAGGAAAGAGACGATTTAGCCTTGCACTGTTGAAAGACTCATTGCAGGAAGGCGGAGCTGCATTGGTTTGCAATGTTGTTTTTAGTTAACTCTTAACAAGGGGATATTTCCTGGGTCTCTTCTAGCATGTACTGTAGCGGGGTTTTGGGTTTGGTTGGTTGAGATCCATCTTCTATCAAGTGTGAAGCGATTAAAAATAGGTTTTTGAATTCCTCTTTAAAAACCAATTTATAAAAGCATTGCAACAAGGTATACCTCTATTTTGCCACAAAGCGTCTCGGGATTGTGTTTGAAATGTGTCCGTCCAAGAACCTTCCCCTCCCCCAAAGATGTGTATAGTCATTGGTTAAAACGACTGTTTTTCTCTTTCTCTCTTTCTCTCTTTCTCTCTCTCTTTCTCTTTCTCTCTCTCTCTCTCTCTCTCTCTCTCTCTCTCTCTTTCTCTTTCTCTTTCTCTTTCTCTTTCTCTCTCTCTCTCTTTCTCTTTCTCTCTCTCTCTCTCTCTCTCTCTCTCTCTCTCTCTTTCTCTTTCTCTTTCTCTTTCTCTTTCTCTCAATAAAGAGAAAAAAACTAAAAAAAAAGTAAAAGCAAAAAGCAAAAAGAAAAAAACATCCTTTTTGTTTGCTCTTGCATTGCAAAATTATAAAGTAATTTATTATTTATTATCGGAAGACTTGCCACTTTTCTTGTCATTTGACTATTTTTTTGTTTGCTGAAGTAAAAGAAAAAAAAAAAGAAAAAAAAGAAAAAAAAAGAAAAGGTTGTACCGTGGTCTTTGAATTATATGTCTAATTCTATGTGGTTTTTGTCTTTTTTTTTTCTTAAATATTATGTGAAATAAAAGCGCCATATGTAGAATTATTATATCTTCAGGACTATTTCACTAAATAAGCGTTTGGAATAGAGAAAATAATAATAATATTAATATTAAGTAATGAACAAAGTTCCCTCTTCTAAATATTTACAAGTTAGCAGCTAAAATACCTGAAATAAAATATTGCATGCAAAGCAGGTCGTTAGTGAGTAAAAGGAGTGTGATATTTTATTGCAAGTATTAACGACCAGCTTGTAAATTTCCATTTCAACAACTATATCAGGGCTAGTTAAAGCTAGATGCCTTAGCTTTCAATCGATAACGTTAGAAAGTCTCTTGATCCCTTCCCATCCCTTACCCTTAAAAGTGATATTACTCTAGGCATGATCTGACATAACGTTAAGACATCTAAAGAACTGGGAGCTCAGGCTTTTTGCTGAGTTCTATTATTTTTAAAAAATAATAAAAAGAAAGTGCTGTATACCAAAGCCTCGTTGTTGAGATTGTTGAAGTGACCTGTATTTTAAGTATAAGCTCCTGATAAAAGGGACGCTTTTTGCTTAACAAGTCAAGTATGACCATTATTTATCAGTGTCTGCTGTCAAAACGCTTGAAAAATGCTGCAGGAGAAATATGTTGAGGGGATATTGCTGTGAAATTGCACGAATAGTGTTCCTTATTTTCTGTCGACTTCCCTCTCTTCACTCCCTCTTTTCTTCCTTTTTTAATTTGCGGGGGAGAGGGTGGTGAAAGCTAGAAATGTGGGCGATTTCTTGGGGAAAAGTAGAAAAAAAAAAAAAAAAAAAGGTAGGAAAGGGTTGTTTTTGCTCAAGTGCTCCCGGCCAGCACAAGACAAAGGCTCGTTTTAAAAAAAACATTAACAACTGGAATATACAGAGATTTTTAGTCTGACAAAGACAAGTTGGTTTGCATGACAGTTACTCCAAACCCCCATGTTTTCTTAACATAACCTTCTTTTTCCTCCCTCCTCACCATCTCAGCCCACACTGAGCAAGCTCAGCTATAGACAAACCATTTCGACAGTACATAAAAAAACAATAATAATAATTTAAAAAAAAGGTTAAAAGCCTAATACAAGGATTTCAATCATCCTGATTAGAAACTGGATTCATTTTGTATGCTCAAGTGTAATACATTTTTGAGTACTTGATAAATATTTAAATAAATATGAAATCTACCTTAAACTGTGTGATCAGTAACCCTTGTGTTTTCATGCAGGATCAGAAGCTTGGTACGACGCTTCGGGGGGCGGGAGGGAGAAGGGGTGTCATTTCTGCCCGGTGGTCTAACGTGTAAGTTGTCTGAGTCGCTGTTAGTGACGGGAGGCTTGGGGGGG